ATTAAATAACTATGATCTTCTAATTGGAAATATTTGGTTTCCAGAATTTGAAAAATATAAATAGAAGCCAATAATTGAAACCCTTTACTGTTGTATCCGACATATTTCACCAAATCTTTTAAGGGCTAAAAATATTAAAATATTTTTCTTAATTTACGACAATTAATTTCGATCTTTTAATTAAGAAGTTTTTAGTATGTAGTATTTTTAAATAGTTTAAACTCTATATTTTTGTTTTCGACAAAATATATGTTGAATTTTTTAATTTACAACAATTAATTTCTATTAATAATACTATACTTTTAGTAGTCGTAAAACAAAGTAATTATACAAATTTCAAATTCAAAAGGTTTTGTATCCCACGTTTTTCAATAAATCTTTAAAAATGCTTGAAATAATAACGATTTGCACTGAGCAATTCAAAAAGGTGGCCAATAATTCAAACCCTACATTTATTGCATCCAACATATATCACCAAATCCCTTAAAATGTTAGAGATACAGAAACGTTCTTGAGTTCTCAGTACTTTTGCGAATACACATTCGTATGTACTTTGCGCACATGGAGGAAATGTTATAATGATGAAATAATAAAGCCGGAGGACAGGCCGACCGAATCCTCGGGGAGTTGCCCCACACACATCCTGTCCACCATAACCGTTGATGGTGATAATAAAAGGAAGCCAAAGAAATGCCTCCTTCGATGCCTAACAGCATCCCAAGGCAAACAAAGGGGATCCAGGAACAGCAGCTCCTTATCGCCGCCAAAAACGGAGATATAACCCCTTGGGGAAGGCCTGTCCGGCAGTTTTCGTTGTTTTGTTGTTTCGTTGTTTTGTTGTTTCGTTGTTTTGTTGTTGCGTGTTAAATTGACCGCTCACATGCAACTTGCGGGCCATAGAAGACAATAAATATTTATATGTAAATGCCGGCAATATTGTCTCTATTGTGCAAACGGGGAGCTCACTAACCTGAACCCGCAGGGTACAGTTCACACCCAGCTTAGTGGACCAGAGGTCGCACTAAAGTGAGCCATTAAATGTTACAATTGATATACATAATTATATCCGTTATTTGTAGGAAAAAAGTTGTATTGTATTTCTGCACAAATATGTAACCATGGGAAGGATAGGTTTTCCTATGTTTAAAGAAATATATTTTATTAGCATCAAAAGAAATTCTTTTCAAAGCTGATAATCAAGATAATAATGAATGATAATTCAAATACATTTGCATCAGTATTTTTAAACGTTTCCCATGTTTGCCTAAAAGTAGGCAACAAATGCCTCTAGAAAAACCGCGTACATCTTCTTTATACATAAACTAGTAATTATAATCTTTATAGCTGTTCTAACTTTTTAAAAAGAAGGTAGATTAATGGAAATTGTTTACGTTTTTAAGCTTTAAAGAATTTCCTGGTTATTTATGCTAAGCTATTTGTTTAATTTGGACATAAGGTCAGAAGAAAACATTTCATACAAATGATAAAGAATCTTCGTGACTGTATAATGAGACAGCAATATGATGGTGTTTTTCTTATCAATCAATTTCACAATTATTTACATAGGTCTTATATTTTGATCGCATCTGTGGGTTTGGGTGTGTGGTGACGGGGTGGCAAGTAGTGTTGCCCCCGAGAAACAACACACTTCCGGCGGCAGCCACAGATTCAGCTTCATCTTCAGTTTTAGCTCCGAGTGACAGAGCCGAGGCTAAGCGACCACTTTAAAGTGCCCTGAACTTGATTAATGAATGGCAGCGCTCTAAAGTATGCTACGTTGTGCAGCTAACACAAACACACATACAGACACACACACCGAGGCACACACACACTCAAAGAGTCAACGACACGGCGCAAAAAAGAAAAAAGAAGGCGAAAGAAAAGCCCCGAGTCCTGACATGGCTTAAAATCTGTTTGCCACGCAGAGCACAAATTGAAATTGGCTCACAACTTGGCAGCTAATTTAATATTTTCAGTGAAGAGCCGCGTGGCTCGTATATGCCACACTTATAATTGTCACACACACGGGCTAAAAACATTCAAACAAATCTGCACAGAGACCCTAAATTTAACCAGAAAGGAATTCAGAACAATTTAAAAAAAATGAAAAGGTTTGCCAAGAAACTACACAAATATTTAAAGTACCTTGCAGTTACAAGTTACACAATTCGAGAATTTCTGTTTTACTGTTCTTTCATTTTTAAATTTACAAATATATGATTAGCTTATTCTTAATTAATTTTACATAAACTTTTGAAGCTTTGTATTTATGCTTACCAATTTCGATCAGAGCTAAAAAAATCAATAATAAAATGTAAATACATTTCAATGAGAAGGTTACGCCTTTCGGTTTAAAAGGTTTCCAGCCACTATTCGAATAAGCCAACCATAATAAGCACCTTCTTATTTGCATTGGTTGCCTCAATGTATATCTATTTTTTTCTGACTTTATGTTAGCAATAAATTTTAATGCTTCCTGTGGCTGCATCTTAAATAGATACAAGATACACATGCCAACGCCGATACACTTTGTTGGTAATTTAAATTGCACCTGCCTTGAAATTCAATTCGACTGATGCGGTGCTTCAAAAATTACCTGTAATTGAATTCAAATGATTTTTCAGCATGACATTTCAATATAATTTATTTACGACCAAATCTTTTGAAATACATTTCCGTTCAAAATACGTTTCAAGAGTATATACTTATACATTCATATACTTGTACTTGTACATTCATCATATTTAACTAATAGATTTCCCCTTTGCGCTCACAACTCCTTATTTATTCGTAACCCCACATTTCAATCCATAGAACCCTTATGAATAAACTCATTAAGTCGTTTACTCAAACGTCCAATTATTCATTAGCAGGTTTGAACATAAAATACACTTTATGTATGATGCTAGTATAGTAGTAAATAGCATAAGTAGAGGAAAACACACATACGCAACGTGGGCACGTTGAAATTCTAGACATAAATCGTACATAGGTCGAAATCCACAGGAATGAACTTCGATTCTGCCACAGACACGATTCCTCGTCCAAGCTTATTTTCGATTTGTGCAACAAATGAAGTGAGAAATTATTTTTATTATTATTTATATTTTTACTACGGATGCCGTGATGGGGGCATCACCCACATCCACATCTACATCCACATCCGCACCGTGGGCGAATCACGTATTCCAAAAAGCAAACAAACGCCGGAGCCCGCATATATAAACAGGCTGCGAACACATTCTCCGGCGGGTAGTTATGAAAAGTAAGCAAAAGCCAGGGAAAAATAATACGAGGGGTGATGGAGACCATCACGAAACATTGAAGCAGCTAAGTAAAGTACATTTTTCGGTGGGCGTCCGTCAGTCACATCATTAAAATCGAGCGTGGAGCATCGGCAGCCGCCTAATTCAAGTCCTTGCCGCAAGATGTGCTGAAATGTGCGATTTGGTGGGGGAAAGGGGAAGGGGAAGGGAAAGGGGAACTAGATAGGGACACCCATTCTCTGGAGGCATTCATCAATATGCCAAACATGTTTTGTTATCATCAAATGGAAAATGCTTCATTTCCACGTACGCCAAAACGGAAGGAGAGTTCACTGCAAGAAAAATAATGTAGGTATCCTCAAGCATTGAAATATACAAAGTAAAGGATTTCCTTTTAAGTAAAAATAATATAATCTTTAACCATATTTGAGGTGTATTACTTCATCGATATAAATATGAAAATAACATTTTCAATAGATAACATTAGAAAAATAAGTACTATTACTTTTGTCTTATTTAAAGATTGCCTTCATATTGTGAAATTATTTTTGAATTTAGCTCGACAATTAATTGCATTTGTTCAGAGATACTTTTGGAATGGTGTTTAACCGACTTAAAAATGTAGAGTCTGTCATTTATTATATACAATCCTTACAATAACTTAAAAATTGCTTATCTTTAAATTGTATGTTTTCTGTGTATAGTCAAAATTGAAAAGTACGATTAAAAAAAGTTGTGGATTGAAAATAAAAAATAAGGCAACTGAAGGCTGGCCATTCCTTTTGTTCGCATCGGAAGTTCCGTGGCAAAAGCGTTAATTCTGTCTCAAGCAATTCATCGTTGTTCCCAGAAGATTATTTAGAGTGCAGGACCAGCAACAGGACCAACAGGCGACTGACAGACAGGAACACCTGGGTGAGGATGGGAGGGGGGGGGAATACCGAAGACGGGCCGTCAAAGTTGATGGCCTCAAGGCGGAGATGAGTGGAAGTTATCGTTGGGAATTCCGCAGGTGAATTTCGAGCTCCCAAGCAAACCAAACCCAAACCCAAACCAACCAAACCACCTCATCCCGCATTCAGCTGGCAAAAAAGTTGGCGGCTTCTGTCGAATCGCGGTGGTTAAACCACCAAAAACTAGCGACGACGACGATGTCGGAACACATAAATTGATTACCAAGACATTTCACGACAAATTCGGCATATAACAACAGTGCCGGGGATTCACACCCGGGGGCTTATCGGTGTGGTAGACAACAGTTTCCGGAAGCAATATACTCGTAGATGTGGCAATGGCAATACAAATGGCGAAATTCGACAGTGGGGGCCACAGTGGAATGCCGTAATCTGCGACAGCCAGGGCAATACCCAAGATGCCAAATCAATTGCGACAACTGTTGAGCAAGTCAAAAGGGAGGATTCGATCTGGGAACTTCACTGGGAAAAGCCCCCCGAAAACGCAGATTGATTCAACCGCAAACCGCGTTCTTAATCTCTTCATATTAGAAAAAAAAGTGTATATAACCATTTCTAGGGTTCAAAAAACACTTAAAATACTTTAAAATAAACAATTATACTTCGGCAACCAAAATATAAAACTAGATAAAAAACATGTCCAGTCTTTTAGACATATTTTAAGCTAATGTCATATTGCCTTTAAGAGTACTTTTCAAAATGTAACCCAGCAACCACAGCGTTTCTTAACACATTAGAGAGTAGTCTTGGAAGTGAAACTTTCAACGAACGTATTGCTTCGAAACAGTTTTAAGCATTTACATAGCAAATACTTTTTTTAAATTTTGCAACGCCTTTTGAAAACCACAAGAAGAAACAGTTAGCAGACATCGGGATGGCGCTTGGCCGGAGTCAAACTATCTGCCACTACTATATGCGGGGCATCTGCCGCTTCGGGGATTTCTGCCGCTTCTCCCACAAGCTGAACCTTGGGCGTCTGGGTGTCCGTCCTTGGTGGGATGTGGAGGAGCAGGATGTGGCCGGCACGAGCAGCTACAGTCGCCAGAGGATGTGGGCGAATGCGCCGGTGTTTGTGCCCCGGCAATTGCGTAAGACAGCCGAATCCGAGGTGAACGGCAATGGGTCCCCGGTGATACCAGGATCGCTGGACGAGATCTGCCCATACGATGGCCCGTGCATGTGGGGCTCACTGTGCCCCTATCGCCACCACCTGGAGCTGTGCGAGATGTGCGACCTCTACTGCCTGCATCCGTGGGATCTGGAGCAGCGCAAGGAGCACAATCGCGAGTGCCTCCGGCAGCACGAGCTGGCGATGGAGCTGTCCTTCGCGATCGCCCGCTCCAAGGACAAGATGTGCGGCATCTGCTTCGATACCATTGTGGAGAAGGAGGGCCGGGACAAGCGGTTCGGCATCCTGCCCAAGTGCAACCACGTGTTCTGTTTGAAATGCATCCGCACCTGGCGGCAGGCCAAACAGTTCGAGCATACGGTAACGCGAGCTTGCCCCGAATGTCGCGTTAGCTCGGACTTCGTCTGCCCCAGCGTCTTCTGGGTGGACACCAAGGAGGACAAGGAGAAGCTGCTCACGGACTACCGCACCGCGGTGGGCAAGAAGGACTGCAAGTACTTCCGGCGGGGCGAGGGGAAGTGCCCGTTTGGCAACAAGTGCTTCTACAAACACGCCCTGCCCAATGGCGTACTCGTCGATGTGGGCTTGCCGTGGCGGAATCAAAACAAACCGATCCGGAACGGAATAGTCGACCTGCTCGAAATCTATCCGTGGGCCAACAGTGCCGATAGCCACGAATGGCCCGATACGTTTTCGAGTGATTCAAGCGACACCTCCGACACCTCGGAGGAATATTAGGCTCTGCGACTCGACTCCGGGAAACTTAGGCAGCAACATATGCCCACAAGCATACTAGTGTAGTACCAGAGCAGCGTATATTCAGTATTGAAGCGATTTGTTTATAGATGATACTGAACCAAATATCGAATTCGAAATCAAACAAAATATTCATTTGGCAACCAAATTTAGGTTAACATGTATAACAATCCTCCACTTAATGCCACCAAATTGTTAAATCAAATAAATTCTCCGTACTTGTGAATAATATTAAAATAATATTTGATACCATCAAAGAGTAGTTCATCATAAAACTAGAGGGGTAATCTTATTAAATTAACAGTAACCGAAAATTGTTCAAATATTTGTTGCTATTTAAACAGCTAAAACAAATGTTCGTTTAATTATTATATTATATATTTCTCACAAACTTTTTAATATACCATATTTACAAAAATATTTATGGATTGGTCAAAAAGATCTTTCTTCATATTGGAAACTTGATAGTCTTTACTATCACGTTTATCGTAATTGGCTTAAAGCTGAACTCTAACCCCAAACAATTTAGAAACAATTTTCTCAAATTTGAATAACTTTAATCATACACTTGATTGGCAGGTCTCACCAATCAGATGACCTTGAACTTGGTGGGCCGATTACCAGGTGGGTGGTTTACCAGCTGTTGACATCGTACCACTCGGAGGGGGAGCAGAGGTTGCCGAACTCGCCGTTGGTGCCGGATCCGCATCCCTGAGCTGCCCAGTCGCAGCTGGAGTAGATCTGGCGTCCGATCATGTTGGTGGTGGCATAGTTGCATGCCACGAGCACCTGGTTCCATCCATCGCGATTGTAGCGGGCGGCGGCGCATCCCACGCGAGTGTTCTTCTCCGACATCATCACGGTGAAGTGGCCGATGGCACTACAAATAAATAGGGATATCAATTTTTAATTGTACGGAATATAATCTTATACCATATACAAAAGAAATAACTTGAGATTTATCCACCACTTTTACAATGATAATTGTTATTAAAGAATCTGTATAATAATTCTTTTTTTTTAAAGGCCATTCATAATATCGTAGATATATCTTTAAATAAGATGTGTTGAAAAAATTCGTATTTCAAAGAATGAAGAATACCATATGATTTCTAATCAAATTTGGATCCTTTTCAAATAAAATAAAATTAATAAACTAAAGCATCCAAAAGGTTCGAACTAAATATTGATAAAATGCTCCTAAAGTTTTCCAATAAGAGTGAAATAATTTAAATTTTCAAACAAGAGTACTAAATAAAACTTTAAATATGTCAAACAGAGCGTTAAAGACATAAGAATATGTTTTTAAATAAAATTGATTAAAATATCACGACTATAGGAAAAACGGTAGCTATTAAAAAGTTGGAATCGAAGGTTCTTATCTGTGCTATCAGTCATTTTTTGTACTTTTATAACTAGAAACAGAACAATAAAAAGATTGGACATATTATATACAGTCCCTGCTAAATCTGACATGTCAGTTCACACCATTGGATCACAGAAAAAAAAGTTTAAGAAACAGTGTAAATTCACTGGGTTGAATATCCTTATGGGTAATTTAGACTTACGGGCCGTTGTCAATTCACACCATTGGATCACAGAAAAAAAAGGTAATAACTCAGTGTAAATTCACTGGGCTGAATATCCATATTAGTAATTTAGACTTACGGGCCGTTGTAGCCGGATGGGTATCCGCCGGAGATGATGCCGGCGTTGGAGTTGTGCACCTCGTCGAACCACATCTGGACGCTGTTGTCCAGGATGTAGCCCATGTCGGGGAGGTCGCCGGAGTAGGCCTGCCAGGCCAGGTTCTGGCCGGAGTACTTGAAGGCGTCGGTGTTGTGGCAGCTGTCGTGCACCATGTTGCACTGGCGGACGTTCAGGGAGGCCAGGTAGGCCAGCTCGTCGTCCCACTCCATGGTGGCCATCTTGCAGGCGGCATTGTGGCTCGGATCGTAGCCGCCGGCGATGTAATTCCTCTTGTCGTTGTGCGAGTGGACGAAGACCCACTTGTAGTCGTCGTTGATGTCGATCAGCTCGGCATCTCCGGGACAATTGCCGTCCCACCAGTTGCTGTGCCCGCAGGCGATGTGGGAGCCCCCGCTGCAGATGTCCCACGAACAGTAGTCGGTGGCCTGGGCCAGGCCAGAAATCACCACCAGGATGGCGAGCAGAGCGAACTTCATGTTGACTTCGATGCGATTCAGTTCGATTCGATCTATAAGGTGATCGGCACGACAGTGTGCTTATATGGCCAACCTTAGCCACTTATCGATCGGTATTAGCGATCCCCAAGTGCCCCTGTAAATCATCCCCGTGGCCACACACTCTTCCAGCCGAACTCCATTCAAATTGCTATCTAATCACCCGCCTCATATTTACGATTGCCAATATCAGTTTTTATAAATATATTGCAATTCAAATCACCGATAAAAAGTTCATCAAAATATGTAAGACTAATTTTTATTAATAACAAAGTTAAATCACTTTGAACCAAACGGTAATAATGATTAAAAAAAATAATATTTATATATTATAAAAAATTAAAATTTAAAAAATTATATTTTTATATTACTAATAAACACTTTTTATAACTCGCAAAAATTATCTTTTGCCCAGACACTTGAGGTAGGTCGACTTTATTAACAAGTAATCTTTTCCTTATCACTGAACTGATTTAGAGTTTATTTATGGGGCACTTCCTCAGTTCGGGTTGCTCGTGCAGAAGTTAACTATAAAAATTGAGTCTTCGCGATTACTTTAATTAGTACCAAAAATATGGCTACGTTTAAACAAAACAATCGAATTTATTACCTTTTATTAGTTTGTTTTCATTCAAATCGAATCAACAAAAAGGAACAAATATTGTGTCTGCTATATGTTATTTAGTAAGCTCAAGTTATATTAGATTAGATTTTTAATTATATGCTCAAAACATTTTAAAACAGTACCGTATTATCAGTATCCAGAAATTCAACTCTGTTGTTTTTCCCATAAGCTTTTAGAATGAATGACTAACTATCCACTGATAGCATTTGACTGGTTATCAAGTCTTAGTCTACCTTTCCTAAAGGTATTACAATGTTTATTTGCTTTGCTTCATCCAAGACGAACCTTCATCTGCAATCGTATATTTTATCTTCAAACAGAACAACAGAGATTAGCTCTTGATATCTCAGTATTTCCGCTGAAGACACAATAATTCTTATCGAAATTCGCAATAAGCCCAGTTACTCAGAAGAAAAAGTTCCGATTTGGTTTTTATACCCTTGCAGAGGGTATTATAATTTTGGTCAAAAGTGTGCAACGCAGTGAAGGAGACATCTCCGACCCTATAAAGTATATATATTCTTGATCAGGATCACCTCCTGAGTTGATATAGCCATGTCCGTCTGTCCGTCTGTCTGTTTCTACGCAAACTAGTCTCTCAGTTTTAAAGCTATCGAGTTCAAACTTTGCACACACCCTTCTTTCCTTTGCACGCAGTATATATGTCGGAACGGCCGGGATCGGCCGACTATATCCTATAGGTGCCATATAACTGATTGATCGGAAATGCCATAACTTTGGTGTTTGTAAAGTTAGGAAGTTGGGATTTTCTATGAGTTTTATTTTTGGCCAATCATCCGACCTATCAAATTTCATAAGGATCGGCCGACTATATCCTATAGCTGCCATATAACTGAACGATTGGAAATGCCATAACTTTGGTGTTTTTAAAGTTAGGAAGTTGGTATTTTTTATGAGTATTAAGAACGCATCATATGAATAATTTTGGAGAATATAATTTGCAGAGTATTCTGCAAGGGTATATCAACTTCAGCTCCGCCCGAAGTTAGCTTTCCTTTCTTGTTTTTTTTAAAGAAAGGGGTATATTTATTTACTTGTTATACCCTTGCAGAATTTATTATAATTTTGTGTGCAACGCAGTGAAGGAGACATCCCCGACCCTATAAAGTATATATATTATTGATCAGGATCGCGTCCTGAGTTGTCTGTCTGTCTGTTTCTACGCGAACTAATCTCTCAGTTTTAAAGATATCGAATTGAAACTTTGCACACACCCCTCTTTCCTTTGCACGCAGTATATAAGTCGGAACGGCCGGGATCGGCCGACTATATCCTATAGCTGCCATATAACTGAGTGATCGGAAATGCCATAACTTTGGTGTTTGCAAAGTTCGGACGTTGGGATTTTTTATGGTTATGGTCAAAAATCACACCAACGCTAAAATGAAAAATTTTGATGCAGATTTTTTGGGAATCAAATTACGAGTCTTCGGAGGTATGCCACTTTGAAATCGGATAAAATTTGGTAAAGTTATGGACTTCGGAAGTCCAGTTATGGGCCACCTTTTAACAACACATCGGAAACTTGAAAATAAATGACATGAAAATTGGTCAAAAATTGCACCAACGCTAAAATGAAAGATTTTGATGCAGATTTTTTGAGAATCAAATTACGAGTCTTCGGAGGTATGCCACTTTGAAATCGGATAAAATTTGATAAAGTTATGGACTTCAAAAGTCCAGTTATGGGCCACCTTTTAACAACACATCGGAAACTTAGAAATAAATGACATGTAAATGGGTTAAAAATTGGACCAACGCAAAAATGAAAAATTTTGATGCAGATTTTTTGAGAAATTTGATGCAGATTCTTTGGGAATCAGATTACGAGTCTTCAGAGGTATTCCACTTTGAAATCGGATAAAATTTGGTAAAGTTATGGACTTCAAAAGTCCAGTTATGGGCCACCTTTTAACAACACATCGGAAACTTGGAAATAAATGACATGTAAATGGGTTAAAAATTGGACCAACGCTAAAATGAACAATTTTGATGCAGATTTTTTGAGAATCAAATTACGAGTCTTCGGAGGTATGCCACTTTGAAATCGGATAAAATTTGGTAAGGTTATAAACTTTAAAAGTCCAGTTATGGGCCACCTTTAAACAACACATCGGAAACTTGAAAATAAATGACATGAAAATTGGTCAAAAATTGCACCAACGCTAAAATGAAAAATTTTGATGCAGATTTTTTGAGAATCAAATTACGAGTCTTCGGAGGTATGCCACTTTGAAATCGGATAAAATTTGGTAAAGTTGTGGACTTCAAAAGTCCAGTTATGGGCCACCTTTTAACAACACATCGGAAACTTGGAAATGAATGACATGAAAATGCGTCAAAAATCGCACCAACGCTAAAATGAACAATTTTGATGCATATTTTTTGGGAATCAAATTACGAGTCTTCAGAGGTATTCCACTTTGAAATCGGATAAACTTTGGTAAAGTTATGGACTTCAAAAGTCCAGTTATGGGCCACCTTTTAACAACACATCGGAAACTTAGAAATAAATGACATGTAAATGGGTTAAAAATTGGACCAACGCTAAAATGAAAAATTTTGATGCAGATTATTTGAGAATCAAATTACGAGTCTTCGGAGATATGCCACTTTGAAATCGGATAAAATTTGGTAAAGTTATGGACTTCAAAAGTCCAGTTATGGGCCACCTTTTAACAACACATCGGAAACTTAGAAATAAATGACATGTAAATGGGTTAAAAATTGGACCAACGCAAAAATGAAAAATTTTGATGCAGATTTTTTGAGAAATTTGATGCAGATTCTTTGGGAATCAAATTACGAGTCTTCAGAGGTATTCCACTTTGAAATCGGATAAAATTTGGTAAAGTTATGGACTTCAAAAGTCCAGTTATGGGCCACCTTTTAACAACACATCGGAAACTTGGAAATAAATGACATGTAAATGGGTTAAAAATTGGACCAACGCTAAAATGAACAATTTTGATGCAGATTTTTTGAGAATCAAATTACGAGTCTTCGGAGGTATGCCACTTTGAAATCGGATAAAATTTGGTAAGGTTATAAACTTTAAAAGTCCAGTTATGGGCCACCTTTAAACAACACATCGGAAACTTGAAAATAAATGACATGAAAATTGGTCAAAAATTGCACCAACGCTAAAATGAAAAATTTTGATGCAGATTTTTTGAGAATCAAATTACGAGTCTTCGGAGGTATGCCACTTTGAAATCGGATAAAATTTGGTAAAGTTGTGGACTTCAAAAGTCCAGTTATGGGCCACCTTTTAACAACACATCGGAAACTTGGAAATGAATGACATGAAAATGCGTAAAAAATCGCACCAACGCTAAAATGAACAATTTTGATGCATATTTTTTGGGAATCAAATTACGAGTCTTCAGAGGTATTCCACTTTGAAATCGGATAAACTTTGGTAAAGTTATGGACTTCAAAAGTCCAGTTATGGGCCACCTTTTAACAACACATCGGAAACTTAGAAATAAATGACATGTAAATGGGTTAAAAATTGGACCAACGCTAAAATGAAAAATTTTGATGCAGATTATTTGAGAATCAAATTACGAGTCTTCGGAGATATGCCACTTTGAAATCGGATAAAATTTGGTAAAGTTATGGACTTCAAAAGTCCAGTTATGGGCCACCTTTTAACAACACATCGGAAACTTAGAAATAAATGACATGTAAATGGGTTAAAAATTGGACCAACGCAAAAATGAAAAATTTTGATGCAGATTTTTTGAGAAATTTGATGCAGATTCTTTGGGAATCAAATTACGAGTCTTCAGAGGTATTCCACTTTGAAATCGGATAAAATTTGGTAAAGTTATGGACTTCAAAAGTCCAGTTATGGGCCACCTTTTAACAACACATCGGAAACTTGGAAATAAATGACATGTAAATGGGTTAAAAATTGGACCAACGCTAAAATGAAAAATTTTGATGCAGATTTTTTGAGAATCAAATTACGAGTCTTCGGAGGTATGCCACTTTGAAATCGGATAAAATTTGGTAAAGTTATGGACTTCAAAAGTCCAGTTATGGGCCACCTTTTAACAACACATCGGAAACTTAGAAATAAATGACATGTAAATGGGTTAAAAATTGGACCAACGCAAAAATGAAAAATTTTGATGCAGATTTTTTGAGAAATTTGATGCAGATTCTTTGGGAATCAAATTACGAGTCTTCAGAGGTATTCCACTTTGAAATCGGATAAAATTTGGTAAAGTTATGGACTTCAAAAGTCCAGTTATGGGCCACCTTTTAACAACACATCGGAAACTTGGAAATAAATGACATGTAAATGGGTTAAAAATTGGACCAACGCTAAAATGAACAATTTTGATGCAGATTTTTT